TTTAATATATTTAATCTTACCATTATTTACAAATTTTATGCTATGTAGTTCTTTTGCGGTCATATCAAGTGCATCAATATATGAAAAATAGGCATCCTATACAAAATATTTGGATATAAAGATAAATTAGAAACCATGCAAGGTAAAAATACTTATTTTTTGCAAAGAAATAATCACCTTCACATTTCCCGTCGACAAATACTCTGTAGCCACTCTCAAAAGTGCTTGTATCTCCTCCATGCGTCTTACTGGTTTTTTTTATAGACAACTCGGGGGTATGTTCCTCCGTAAACTCGTAACTCTCTTAAATCTTTTGTTAACGCAAGCTGATAATATGTGTAATATTTTTTTTATTTTGACAGGTACGTAAGATGGAAACATAAATGGTGCGCAAATAAAATCTTGATCTTTTTTAAATCATACAGTCATTGTCTTAAAAATATTGCACTCTTTGAGCTTGTCTTATTTCTTTTGGGATTTTTTAAAGGCTATTTTTTTATGTACTTTTTTTTAAGGGAACATTCAAAGTTTCAACTATTTACATACAGGAAAGACCAACAAAAGTGGGGAGTTTTTTTGAAATCCTATATCGGGAGCTCTTGCCTTACGTCATATACTGGCTATTTGTCCAAGTGTGATATTGTACGTATTTGGATGAAAAGGGTTCAAACAATATCCAAGTGCGGCACTGCTCGTTATATTATCCGATTTTAAGTATGTGCTACCTGATTACGAATTTCTATGTTACAAGTGTCGGGATGTGCCCCTTGATAAAAAAAAAAAAAATAAAGATAATCAAATTTATAGGTTGACTCAATTAATGATAATTTAAAAGATTTTATAATATCAAACTTTATCTCTATTTTAAATAATGAATTGATATTGATTTGAAATTTGCCTGTCTTTAATTTTTTTTTTAATATAAATTGTTTATATATGCAACTATGGTTTATTGATATTCTATGTATTAAGTTTTAATAAAAAAATTTTTTTTATTTTTCTAATATTTTTTTTTTCTGATTTTATTTAATAATTTGTTTTTTTTATAAAAATTTATTTTTAAAATTATTTATAATTATGCATTTATAAAAAAATTTTTAATTACATATTTAAGTTTTATTATTTAAGTTTTTTTTATTTTTAATTTATAATATACAGTATTTATTAAGTTATATTGAATTATTACAAAAATAAAAAATATAAATATAATTTATAAAGATAATAAATTATTTAGTTATTAGATAAAATTAAGATTTCAAATTTTTTAATAAAATCAAAGTTTATTATAAATTATCTTTATAATTATTTATCATAAATTATCTTTATAATTATTTATCATAAATTTAAATTGTATTTTTTATTTGTTTTTTTTTGAAGTAAAAAGTATATATAACATATAACTTTTATGAATTATTTATATTCAATTATATTATTACAAGATTTATTTAAATTAACTTGTTCTTTTATATATTTCATATTTGGTAATATATTATTTATTTTAAGATATATTATATTATTTTCAAAAAAACTTATTTAGAGGATGAAAATCTTATTATTGGTTTTAAATTATACAATTTCTTGATTCAATTATTTAAGTAAACAATAATTAATTAATTATAACTATTTTCTATAAGTTATTTATTATATCTTACTTTTTTATTTATACAGTTATAGTTTTAAAAAATTTTTAATATATATATATATTCTAATAAATATTTTGATTCTAATCCCTTAGTTAATAATACTATTATCAAATATAAAGATTATATAATTAAATAGTATACAACTTCTTAAAAATAAATTCTTACTTTTCCAATAGACACTTCATATTATTAATGATTAGATTGGTTTTAACTATACATGTGTTTGTATTTAATTCAAACATTTTTCAAAAACTATATTATGTTCGTATTACTAAGTAACAATTAGTAAATAATTGGGAATCATATTTAATTCAGAATTGTATTGTTGATCAAATTTCCTTTTATGGTAATAAGGAAACATATATAGTTTTAACTATTAAATTTAAGATATAAATATTATGCAAAATATAATTTTTATATATTATAAAATATTTAGAAGCCATAAAAATAATTATATATTAATATTAATTTAATATTCTTTTTCAAAACTTTTTATTTAATTGTTAATAGAGGAAAGAAAATTAATAATTAGAATTAATTAAGATGAAATATAATCCAACCTGTATTTTTAAATATGTAAATGGATTTCAACCTTGCTTTATAATTATTATAATAACTTTTAAATGATTATATCTTATTTAAGAAAATCTTAATCTTAATGTTTATTAAATTAGTATATAAAATAACTTTATATGAAAAACAGTATTTAATAAATTATAATATTATATATTATATAAGTTTTATTTAACAACTTTTACCTAAAGTTGAATTAATATCTTGTAATTTAAACTGTGAAATACTAATCATTTATATTATAAACATATAAGTCTTAAATTATATTTTTTATAAAATTATATTTTTTTAATAATTAAATAAACATTATCACATTATTATAATTGTAAAATTGAAAAAAATTTATACATAAAAAAAGTAATAACATTTTTCACATAACTAGTTAATTTGTAAGTTTAATGCTAGCTTGTCTATAGTAAACTATCTAAGTTACAAAGAAAAAGAAATATTAAAACCAATATATTATCAACAAGCAACTATAAATATCTATTCAAGTTTATATATAAAAAGACTATAAGAAGTAGAAAAGAAATAAAATATTAGTAAAGAAATAGATGCAAAAAAACTAATTGTAAAGCTAAAAATGCTTTAAAGAAGTGTGCCACACTGGTAATTCTATTTAACTAAAATACAGTATATATGTATTTATCACAAATAATCAGTCTACTGTTTAAAGTATACAGTAATATTGAAAATATATTTCTTTGATAGTTGATTTATCATAATGATTGTATTATTGTTATATTAATACAATTAGTGATTAATTTATTTGTTAATAGTATAATTGATTTGTTTATTGATAATGTAATCTTGTTTTGATAGTTGTTATCAAAAAAGATTTTGTTTATATTGATCAATATATAGTGTTTTGATAATATAGATTTGTTTGAATAATTAGTAATGTTTAATTAATTGGTTTTGAAATGTTAATCAATTAACAGGAGTAAATTAATTATGGTTTTTTTGTAAAAATTTTTTTGAAAAAAAGGTTTGTATTTTTTGTGATATAACAAATTATACTGAGCAATAGTAAGAAATAAACAATGAATATATTGCTAGTTCTCCAAGTCAACAATATAAATATTTTTAATATATGATTTGGTTTTTTGATTTGCAAAGAAGATTTTTAAAAAAAGAATATAGTTACTTAATAAGAAATGTGAATTTGTAAGAAGTGAAAATAAGAAGAACCTCAAAGAAAATTTATAAAAAAGCAACTGTTATAAGTCTTTTTTCATGCAATTCAAAGAAAAAGCAAGGTCTTTAAACTTGTTTTTCTTTAATCAGAGGTTTCATTCCAATGCACCAGGTTTTTGTAATAAAAATAAAGAATATATTGTTGGCAGGAAACTGATATGGAGTATAACTGTACGAATATATTCTAGTATGTCACATACCCTGATTTACAATAATTAATAACTTATAGCCTATAATGACATATAAAACCATAATATAATTTTAGAGAAGTTTAAATTAGCTATAACCTTAAATAGCTTATTAATTACAAATAATTTATCAGAGTTTAAAAAGAATTGCATAGCATAATTATAGTTTAACAAAGGCATACCAGATAAGATAAAAAGAAGAAAGCAGTAGTGTGAAAAGAAAATTAATAATAATAAAAAGTTGTTTCTTAAATTAAAAACTTCTTAATTAGAACATATGATTACTGTTGCCTAACTAAGTAAATTTTAATTAACTTACCTAATCCAGTACTTGTTATAAAATAGAACAATTAAAATTACAAAAAGAAAAGTGATAAAGATTTATCAAAGAAAGTAAACAATAGAAAGAGAAAGAAAAAATTAGTAGAACTTAGCTAAACAAATTATATTTCTCAAGTAAAAAAGCCAAACACTTATCTAACATTATGCAATAAGTGTTTTGGAAAAGTAACAAATTTACCAAAAGAGATATCAATAATATGAAGGACTTTAAGATGTTAAAAGACAAAAAAAATATTTGTTTCTTTAATTTTGAAAAATAATAACTAAAAAAGAAAATTTTTAAGAAAAAAATTGTATACAGGAAAGAGTTTTTTTTTTCTTCTAAAAAAAAAACAATATATTATATATTATATAATTTATAAATAATTAAATTTATAGTATAGTAAGTAGTATTCTCAGGTTTTTAAATATATGTTTCTAGTATAATATCTATAGAAAACAAATCATATTAATAAAGCTTGTATACAGATTTATCAGTTTTCCTACATATTTGATCTCAAAATATTTAAATTTAATTCTTATCTAATTAATTTGTATAAAAATAGAACTTCCAATATTTTTTAATGATTATAGGTTGAAACAAAATTCAAAAAAAAAAGTTATATAAGGAAAGGCCTCTGGTTTAACTATAAATATATCTATTCCTTCTAATATAATAAACTTTATATACACTTTTCAGATTAAATAACTTTGAAAAAGATTAATAACTAATAATTATATATATTCTTTCAAGATAGCTTGTAAAGATTATAATATATAGAAGTTATACTCTGCTTGGTATTTGTACTTTTAGATTTGATAACTTAAGTTAACTAAGAGCTTATGAAATATCTATTGGAAGATTTAGAAGTCATATTTCACTTGATTAGCAACTGAATTTTCAAATTTAATAATGTACACCAACTATAGGAACAACTTTTGAAATATTTATTAGGAAGTATATATTTTTAACTTTGAATAAATAGTTTATATTGAGTTATAATTATAAATGTGATAAGAAATCCAAAAAAATTTAAAATATAATACTAAAGAATCTCTTCAATAAATAAAATTCAAGATTAGGCAATTTAAAATTGATAATAGAATTTTCATTCTTTTGACTTCTACTGATATGTAAATCTACTTACAAGATATAAGTTGATATGGTTGAATATATAGAGTTAAATATACAAGTTAATATTAGTATAACTATAGACTATTTATATATAAGATATACAGTGTGTTGCAAAACTTTTTGGAATTTTATTTATGTGACATAAATATAAATAACTTTTTCAAAACAAAAGCAATTCACATG